AAGGGGAGGTTTCCATTCCATGCAATGCTAGAGAGGGAGAACCATAGATCTTGTCCGCAGGCACCTCTGTATACAGATGCTCTCCGTCTTCAAGGGCGACAGTGGGACAAGGCTGCTAATGTGGGCTAGCCCATATATCTGGTGGCAAAAGGTGGCCTCCAGTCCCTGTGAAGCGGCTACAGAGGGTCCAGTTATGACGAGGTCAAGTGTCTTTATTACAGACAATGTCCAACGGGAAATGTTGGGACCTATCCTTCCATCAGGTCAGCTTCCACTCAGGATAACAGCCACCAAACTTTCAGACTTTGATTCAGACCTTGGATGCACTACCTCTAGGGCTAGGAAGCTTCCTTTTCATTTATTTATTTTTGTAAGAGCATTGAGCATTCATTCCTTTTGCACAAGAAGCCTTTTCCTAGCTGTTGCTCTTCAACCATTGTCATAAATGTCTTTTCTTTCCTCCCAGCCTTCACTTCCTTACGCTCTGTAGTAGCCATTACGGGCAAAGGTCTCTCAGAAGCTGCATTCACCACTGTCTTCTTGTACACCTCTGAGCTCTACCCCACCGTCCTGAGGTAAGAGACGCCACTGCCTGGGCGCACATCCAGACCCTCAGTGGGAATGGCACCCCTTGGTCTTTGGCATCAATACAGCAAAAGATGCTGCTGGCTGGACTGCAGGACTGGTGCCTTGCCTCTAGAAGCAGCAGGTTCTAGGGATTACACATCACACTCGTGAGAAAGGGGCAGGGCAGGTGGGTTATGTGGATAGGGAAATGTATTGAAAAGTCAGGACTATTCTGTGTGGGCACATTTCTGAACTCAAGGGATTTGTGCTCAATAAAGTCTTAGCTCCTTGCGATAATCTGTCAGTAACTGCTAAAAGACCCAGGAAATAATCATTCAAAATATCAATTTTTATTAGGGACACATACTATCACATGAGTTTGACAGCCTCCTGGACATCAGATGATACTAAAGCAGGGATTAACTAGCCTTTCAGGAGGAAAAAGCCAGTTTATATGAAATATCCAGGTACTGGAGACATAAAATTAGGTGCAGTACCAGCATGGTTTGGGATGTAGCTAAGACTGGTGGAGGCAATCTTCTGTTTCTTGTGGAGGTTTTTGTTTTGTGAAAATCTGAGAAAAAAAAATAAAAAAAAATTCTTTCTTCATATTTTTCTTGTGGTGGTCTCCACCACCATGGTCCCCTCCCTTTCCAGGCAGAATGGGATGGGATACACCTCCTTCGTGGCACGCCTCGGCGGGGCTCTGGCTCCACTCGTGTTCCTGCTGGATGAGGTGTGGAGGTCTCTGCCCGAGGTGACGTACTGCGGTGTGGCAGTGTGCTGCGGCTCGGTGGCCTTCCTGCTCCCAGAGACACTCAACGTGCGCCTGCCTGAAGGCATTGAGGACATCGAGAAGACACAGTGAGTCAGCTCCGTCCTGCCCTGCACATGGAGTCTGATGAGAGGGGCACGGAGATGTCCCACTCTGCTGCCTCTAATTCCCCATCCATGGGTGGCGGCAGATCAAGGGACAGCCCAGCAGGGATCGGGACTGTTAGGCTTCTTGGTCTTCTGTCCATCAGCCTAAATGTGCCTTCTTTTCTTCCAGGGTGAAAGAGCCACTACAAACCAGTGCCCCTGAGGGCATGCCGTTACAGTCTCTTCTGAAGTGAGGGACTCCGTGGGACAGCCACAGATACTGTGTAGGACTGCAAAACTGAGCCACGCTCTGACCTGCCAGCTAAAGAGCCTTCACCATCCTCCTCGTCTCTCTCTGCAGGGAATTGAGGCTGAGGGTATTAAGGAAGGAGGTGGATCATGAAACCAGCTGGAGGGAGCTAACCCCTCTCTGTAGTGTGGCCAGGAGCAAGAACACTCAGGTCTAATAGGGTCTGGACATGCAAGGACCCTGTGCTTAGCTCTTCCAGTCTCTGGCCTTGATGGACTAGCAGCACCTTTCAGATTACTGCACAGCCTTCCAGAAACTACAGTCCGTTGGTTTACAAGCCACAAGAAAACAGCAATAAAAAACACTGAGTGTGAATTGTACAAAAATAATAATATAAATAATGTCCAAAAAAATATAAATTATCGTCTGAAATAAATCTAACTGGATGATGGATAAACCATAAACTGTAGCTACAAATATTTCTTGAATTTGGAAGTGGTCTGGAGATTTTCCACACTGAGGGTCAAAGCTAGCAAAAAGTACATGCAGTAATTACACTGAGAATGGGATAACTCCAAGCATTTGTCCCAAATACACAAAGAAGTTTTTTTTTTTTCAGATTATTTACATCTAGTGTATATGTGATATCCATTAAGAAAAAAAAAATCATTACAGGAACTTTTGAATGTAATATTGAGTAATTCAGTAACGGATTTCATTCTGCTTATTGATCTAACGCATTGATCTTAAGTTTAGGAAATGCCTTTGCATCTTGCACTTCTGCAAATAACAGAGACAAGGCACCAACTATAAATCTGGAACCCTGACAAAGAGCAGCTTTCTAAATTGGGAAGAGAGAATGGCCTCAGCATCTGAGTCCCAGACACACCATGATTCCCGGGGCTTTGATGTATTTTAAGCTAAGCCACGCACAGGTCTATTAGGATAACACAAACCAACGGCGTATCCGAAAACAGATGAGGAGCCCCATCAAATTCTAGGTCGAAGAGCGCCTCCTAGTAGAAACAAGTAAAAATTTCGTTCACTTTTGCTTTAAGCTAACAAAAGGAAAGCAAACCTCATCCTCAGTGAGACACATAATTTTGTGTATTATTTATGCCTCAAAGATTGGGTCAAATAACCATCCAAAATCCCTGGAAAAAAAAAAAGAGCAATTCCCTATGTACTGCCTTGTGCTCACCAGAGGCAGATCATCGCTCTTATATCAGCAAGTTGCAACACCCTGACATCAGTAACAGATCATAATATTCTTTCAGAAGTGCCACATGCAGAACACTTGTTTGGGATCCGTTTCAGAGTATTGCCCTAGCTACAGCAAGTATCTGAGGGAGATACACAACCTAGCAAGTGCCAGTTCAGGAAAACTTTCAATAAAGAAGGTTATTTTTTTTCTCCAGAGTGGGAGAAGGATGGGATTTAATGTCCTAATGTATTTCTCACCACCTTAGCCTTGTCAAAAGGAAGACAAGTGGGATCCCAAATGAGTGGGGTTGATGGTTCCCATTCCCCCTCTGTCCATGCAGGAGCATACCCACAGGCCACTCCTCACACATAAGAATCACAGAATCACAGAATCACAGAATTTCTAGGTTGGAAGAGACCTCCAAGATCATCGAGTCCAACCTCTAACCTAACGCTAACAGTCCCCACTAAACCATATCCCTAAGCTCTACATCTAAACGTCTTTTGAAGACTTCCAGGGATGGTGACTCCACCACCTCCCTGGGCAGCCCGTTCCAGTGCCTCACAACCCTTTCAGTAAAGAAATTCTTCCTAACATCCAACCTAAAACTCCCCTGGCGTAACTTTAGCCCATTCCCCCTTGTTCTGTCACCAGGCACATGGGAGAACAGGCCAACCCCCACCTCGCTACAGCCTCCTTTAATGTACTTATACAGAGCAATAAGGTCACCCCTGAGCCTCCTCTTCTCCAGGCTGAACAAGCCCAGCTCCTTCAGCCGCTCCTCATAGGACTTGTTCTCCAGGCCCCTCACCAGCTTCGTCGCCCTTCTTTGGACCCGCTCAAGCACCTCGATGTCCTTCTTGTAGCGAGGGGCCCAAAACTGAACACAGTACTCGAGGTGCGGCCTCACCAGAGCCGAGTACATAAACTCACACACACAAAATAAAATGGTTTAATTCTAAATGGCACAGTTGAGATAATATTGCTTTAAAACCCTTTTCGTTTTTTTCTTGGGGAGGTAAATTAAGCTCTGATTGTTCCAATTTTATATTCAGGAAAAACCTTTAAGCTTCAAAAAGACTGGATTGAGTATCCCAAAATTTGTGTCAGTAAGAATTAGCATCCCATTTAAACAACCTCCATGTCAGCATCCAGTCAAAGATGACACAAAATAGTCAGACAGTTCTTTTTCATTTGAATCTTGTTATCACCCATTTGGCCTACAGTTGAGTGTTTTATATGTTCCTTAGACTTTTAATAAAATTGGTCTTTTATTATAACAACTTGGAAACACTAATTGTTGTCACCGTCCATAAGGTGGAAAACATTTCATTAAGAACATTTTGCTCAATTTAGCAGAAGAGGTAGGTGAGGAGCCATTTTTAAAATGAGATTTCCCTGTCCTTGAGTCACGTATCGTCTCACGTTGTCAAAGAAGAAAAAGCGTGCTGGTCATCACCGATTTACCACACATTTCAGTTCTCTTCAGGAAAATACTGTTGATTTGTTGGAAATGCATCATGATTTATAGCAACCAACACAAGCAGGCAGTGCTGATGGCGTTTCTCATATAGGGTCTGCAAGGAAACTGGGGCATTAACCAAATCAAGAACTCATATCTTTTTATTACTGAGAGGTTTGTTACGAGATCTGAACTCTCCATGTTGTGAATTTGTGACATGAGATGGGTGCGGTTGGCTGCAGCCTTGTTTAAGAGGAAGACGGGAGCAATGGTTACAGGGAAATGGCTACAGGGAAATAGATATTTTCAGTAAACAGAAAAATCTAACTTGCTTGGGAAGGTTAAGTACAGGAAAACTGAGAGATGCCAAGAAGAAACACAGGATTTGAGGAGTGTGATGGACCCAGGACGAGTGTCGGTGTAAGAGCTCCCCAGCCTCGCTGCCTCGCAGCTTGGGGCCAGCATCACGCCCAGAGGTGGCCAGGCCCTTTGTCGCTTGCCACCTTGCTCTGCCACCTGTTTTTCGCTCCCTTTCACCACGACCAGCCTCGATCTGCCCTCAGCACCCCGATGCGGGCTAAGGAGCGCTGAGCAGCGCCATCTTCTCCCATCTGCAAAACCCGCTCTGCTTCCGGGTCGCCGCGGGGAAGGCGGTGCAGGGGCAGGGCCAGCACCCCCCTGTGTGTCCCCTTGTCCCTCCCTGTCCCCCCCCTACCCCACCCGGGGCCGATTTGGGGTCTCCCCGCCCCGCCGGCCGCGGGGCCCGGCGCGGTCCCTCCCCGCGATGAGCTCAGCCCGGCGGCGCGTAGGGGCGGGCGGCCCCGGCCATGCGGAGCCGGGACGGGAGGAGGAGGAGGAGGAGGTGGCGGTGCCGGTGGCCGAGCAGGGCCCTGCCTAAGCTGCGGCGGGGCCCCATGGGCCTGGGGAAGCCGGCGGGTCCCCGGGGTAGGGTAGGGTAAAGGGTCCGGGGGGGGGTGTTTCCCCCCGCCCGCCCCGCCGCCATGTACACCTTCGTGGTGCGGGACGAGAACAGCAGCGTCTACGCCGAGGTCTCCCGGCTGCTCCTGGCCAGCGGGCAGTGGAGGCGGCTCAGGAAGGACAACCCCCGCTTCAACCTGATGCTGGGCGAGAGGAACCGGCTCCCCTTCGGCAGGCTGGGTAAGGGCTGGCTCGGTGCTGCCGTGCCCGAGCAGGGTGCGGTGTTGTCGGGGGTCCCCCCCCCCCCCCCTTACCCCCGGGTAGGGTGAGCCCCATGGGGTCCCCCATAGCCTGTGGGGCATCGCCTGGCTGTGCCCTGGTGTCTCCTGGTGCCTTGGGCAGTGGCTGCAGCCCCTCGGGGACAGCTGGCCCCAGACAGCGGGCTCCTTGCCGCAGGGACCCCGCAGCCGCCCCGACCCCAACCCCAACCCCAACCCCAACCCCAACCCCAACCCGCATCGCCAGGAACAAAGGGGCAGCAGCGGGGGGCTCCCCACGGCCCCTTGCAGCCCTGGAACAGGCTCTGTCCCAAAACGGGCACAGCCCGAAAATGAACAGCCCCTGCTGCCCCTCACCAGGCCTCGAAGGATGGAAGGATCGCCCTCCAGGACAGCATCTGCAGTGCCCCCCAAAATACCCAGCCCAGCCTGGGGAGTGGGATGCTGGCATTGGGGGCTCGCACCCCGCAGCGGGACGCTCCCTTTGTTTGGCTCCCCGCGTGTTCAGGACGCTGGCCTCAGGGTCCCCGCCGTCCCCAGGGCTGTCTAGTGGGGTCACAACACCCCCACTTCTCAGCCTGCCTGCAGAAAAACACTTGAGGCTTTTTTTTTTTTGCTGCTGCTCTGCAGGGTCTTGGCGAGGGTGACAGCACGGCTGGTGCCTGCTTGGGGGGCAGGGGGAGAGTTATCGGGGAGGCTGTGTGCGTGCAATGCCAGGCCACCCCCCTTTTCTTCTCCCCTGCTGCTCATCCCCTTCTGCCAGCATGCGTGGCCGTGGCCGAGCAAGCCCTGGGAGCTTCCCTGGGTGGGTTTGTCCCCTGCCAGCCCTGCTGCTCGTCCCCTACCCCACCAGACAGGGCCGTGCGCTGCCCACGAGCAGGCAGAGCCCCGCCAGGCGCTGGCAGCGTTGTGGGGTGCGGCGGGGAGCAGAGATGCACTGTCATTGCCCGTGGCTGGTGGGTGTCCGTGCTGAGTGCCAGCTGCTGGGCTGGCCCCGTGCTGCCTCCTGTCCCCAGCGTGTCGGAGCAGGTTTGGGGTGACCCCAGCACCGCAGCGCGTTTCCCTTCTGCAGTCCCCCCTGTGTGTGCCCGAGGGCTGGCAGGACCCTCCTGGCCTCCCTCCCTCTCCTTGGCCTCAGTTTCCTCCATCCTGGGGTGATTTTGCAGCAGTGCTTCTGGCTGCAGAAACACCAGAGCAAGGAGAAGCCCCCCAGCCCCAGCAGCACACACACACACACACACACACACACGCTTGTGACTGGAAAGTCCCCGACACATGGCAGTGCCATCTGGTCACCTCCCAGTGCCGGGGTGTTTGCAGGAGGCAGGGGAACCCTGGGAGAGGCTCGAGCAGTGAGGATGCTCACACGTGCTGCAGCCAGCAAAGAACAGAACAGCATGCCCAGCTCAGGGCAACCTCTTACTAACCCCTTCCACCCTAGAGAAGAACCCTGGGATGATGGAAAGGCTTCAGCAGGTCCCTCAGTCTGTCATATGACAGGGTAGCTAAAATTTTTTTCTTAGAGAGGGACCAACCTTTGGCACTGACTTCTGTAACCCATCCTCTATAGCAGGTGCTGGTTGCCTGAAATCAGTAGATTAAGACCAAAAAAAACAAAAAAAAACAAACCACAGTTATTTTGGTACATCTTCCAAAAATCTCTGCCTTCTCTGGAATCTCTTCCTGAAGCTGTCCCTCTGAGCAGCTGTTGCACGCAGGCTGGCTGGGTTGGGTTCTCCTAAAGGCTCTGCTTGAAACAGGCACTGTTTCGGGGAGTTGTAGGGCAGTGCCTTCCAAAGGGCTGAGCCGGATCGTGTGTCATGGGGGAGCCACGGCTGCTGGTGGGCCACAAGCACTCCTGCTGCACTCGCTGGTTTCCTGCTCCTTGGGCTGATTGTGCCTTTAGGCGGTGAGTGTTGGCATCAAAGCCTGTATCTTGTGCAAAAGCAGCTTGTGCTAAGGGGAGACAAAGGAGGAGCAGGCTGCAGAGGCCTGACAGAGCAGAAGATGCTGGGCTCTGCTGGCCACTGGAGGATCACCGGTTCACTCAGTGCCTTGACAGCTTTTTAATCCCATTAAATGCACAGAGCAGACCTCGGTGTGCACAAGAACCCGTTCCCTTTCCCTCCTTGCTGGCCAGCAGCCCCCACGGCACAGGCCACTGCTCCAGAGATGCTCAGCAAACCAACAGGGGCACCACCTCGTATGCCCTGGGAAGCAAGCAAAATTAGTAAGCTGGAAACAGGAGGAAATCTGAGAGCTTTTACTAATTTCTTTCAGTAAATTGGTGCGTGGCAGTGCTGACTGTACCTGGCTTTACAGATCTTTCAGCTGTTTTTCATACTTAAAGATCTGTGAATAAAATAATGAGCCAGGTCAAGGCCGTGGTTTTGGGGTTGAAATAGATATTCACTGTCTGTGATCTCGCAGCTGTCTGGTCTTTAGGTTCATGTTTGCTCTGGGCCTTTTTTTCCAGGCAATTACTGCAGAGGGCAACTAAAGCTCTGAATGCTGTTTCAGGGTCTAAATAACCCCCACAAGCATGTGTTTGAAAAAAGAAGGCAAAGATGCAAGTAACTGTCATGCTTGGGGGTCCCTCTGGTCCTCCTAGTTGTCGCTTCAAACCAGAGTGGTTTTCTGTCATATTTTCCCTATGGATGTTGGTTGTTGTCACCAGGGCCCCAGGTATTGCCTTGGGCATCGTTCACCTGTTGCACATCCGTGTTCTGGGGGAGGCCGTGCGCTGCTGCCCAGACCTGCATTACCCCTTGGGGAATGTCTTATAACATTTCCCAGCCCTTTATCTGAGCCAAAAAGGAATCCTGCTGTAAATGCCAAAAAAAAAACCAGCAAGGTCGTTTCCTAAGATCTTTGTGTCATGGTGTACTTCCCTGCATCTTCCTACTGCACTTAAGAGTAAATCCTGGCTCTTAAAAACTGCCACCAGCAAATGGAGAACATTTTTGAGTGGCTCTGCCCGCTGCCAGTGTGAATTAGGAAATGGTTATTTTCTTTTGGAAAATGGAAGCGGCATGTTCAAAACAGACTTGAATAAAAGCATGTTTTTTCTTCCCTGATAGAAAAAAAATGCTGGAGCCGGTACCAGCTGAGAGCCTGTTTCTTTGATGAAGGGCAAGGAAACAGCTTCTTTTTCTTCTCTGCTGCACAGATCCTTTGCACCAAGCAGATGTTTTTCCTCCAGTAATTGAGAAGTTTGCCTGACTTTTCAATTTTCTGTTGCAGGCCACGAACCCGGACTTGTGCAGCTGGTGAATTACTACAGGGGAGCCGACAAGCTGTGCCGCAAAGCATCCCTGGTGAAGTAAGGAATTCACTGAAACGTTGCAGGGGATTGGTAGAAATTTTTATTCTAACTGTTGGCAACTGCTGAACCTGTTGTAAGGGTATTTCACAGAACAGCTGCCCTGGGGTGTCCCTGCACGTGGTGTCTTCAGACTTCTGTGCTGGTCTGGGCAGATATCTGGGTGCACAATGACCTCTTTATAACTTCAGGGGAAATGACATTTCCATTGAATTACATCTTCTTGAAACCACAGAGTGTATTGAATCAGACAGACAGGAGCTACAGCTTACAGCCAAATCAAAGAAGAAACAACAGCAAACCGTATCTGTTCTTTCTCCTTGTAGCTACTTAATTAAAACCTACTCCTCTCGTCCTCTGATTCATACAGCGATGAGGCACTAATATTCATTTAGTTAATCAGATTTGTTGGTCAAACAAATGTCTGGAGACATCTCGAGGAAGACCTGGCTCTGGGAGTTATTTCTGCATGGCCAGCTGTGCCGTGATCTCCTGGGGAAATGGGGGTGAGCCTTCAGCCCCATGGTCTCCATCCCCATCTGGGATGCTTGATCTGATCTCAGAGGGAAAGGGGTCACGAGCTGAGCAGCAGCCCAGAGAGCATTACTGCTCTGGCTTCCCCTTTGCCTGCTGTTATCACAGCTTCCTTCCTGCCCTGTTTCGCGGTAGCAATCACGCCTCCTCAGTGGCCTCGTGCAGAGACGGGGCAGGGAACTCACTACAAGCTCTAATTACGTGGAAACTTCTCTACTGATTGCTTCGTGATATGTAAAGTACAAAATATTTAACAAAAGCTTGCAGGTCTGGTTCCAGGAGGAGTGCATTGTTGCAGCTTAAGGTTGCTGTGATCTCTTTAAAAAGACCCTAATTTCGAGGGTCTAAAGAGAATATAATTGTTTAGTACAGGCTGTCTGTAAGATGCTATTCATCACCAGAGCCCAGGTAATGATGACTTGTACTTAGGAAATTATGTCCTCGTGGGTCACTCTGGAGATTAACAATCTGGAGATTAACAGCCTGTATCTCTTCACCCAGGCTAATCAAGACGAGCCCTGAGCTATCGGAGTCCTGCACGTGGTTCCCCGAGTCCTATGTGATTTACCCAACCAACCTGAAGACTCCCGTGGCTCCGGCACAGAACGGGATTCGCCATCTCATAAACAACACAAGGACAGATGAGAGGGAGGTCTTCTTGGCATCTTACAACAGGCGGCGGGAAGGCAAAGAAGGCAACGTGTGGATTGCCAAGTCCTCAGCTGGTGCCAAAGGTTCGTTTTTCAGCAGAATGAGCCACCTTCTCATTATTCCTTACCCCTTACTTGATCAATAGAGTCCTGGGGCTTGGCTGAGCCCAGCTAATATTGAGCCCGTCTGTAAATGGCTTCACCTATCTAATCCATGACAGTCATGCCACCACAGGGCTCTCCTTTTTCTGTTTGGTGGCATCAGGCTCCTGACAAACAGTAACATGCACATGCTAGTTAGGACACAGATGGCAGTGAAAGAAGTCCCTTTTTTTCTAGTCATGCACCTCAAAATACTTGCTGCAGGGGGAAGGCAGTAGGGCCCAGCAGGCCAAGGGAATGTGGACTGCAAGAGATGGGGAACATAACAGGACGTGGGGAGGAGGACAGTGGACAGGAGAGCAGTCCTCCAGAACAGTGACAAGCATTTCCATGCTGCAGCCGAGCCTGATTTCAGCTGGGCAGAAATACCATTGTTTGTCTTCCACCCAAACCCAAAAACCCGGTGCCAACGTCCCTCCCATGGTCACACTGAGACTGACTGAGCAGCTGTGAGCACAGTGTACCCAAATCACATCCAGGCCCTGGGCAGCCCCAAGCAGAGCAATGCAGTACCTGCATTTCTCTTTCATTTGAATAAGGCAATAGGTACCCAGGTGATAACGTGCCCTGCCTTTTTCCAGGGTCATTGCACAGCTTGCTGTACAGAAATAATGAGCTATTAGGAAGATAGAGCTGGACACAGCTATGGATGTAATGCTTTGGTAATTATCCTATCTGCCAGTTACAGCAGTATCACTGGCACGCTCTCAGAATTTCATTATGAAAACTCGCCTTGCTGTGTGCGCAGAGCCCAGCCCATGGAAGGACCTGGTCTTTTCAAAGGGAACAGGCCCACAAATACTACTCATATTTGCAGAGTCACTTCTGAAGCAGTTTTATAAAAATCATCAGGAAACATGAAAGCCAGAGGTGGCTGCAGGAGGGCTGCATGATACAACTCATTTGTGCAGGCTTTCCTCACTGCTCTGCTTTCATGGCTCTGTTACTGAGAAGCATCAGAAGAGTATGTGTATTTCATCAAGGAGGAAGGGAGATGAGTCCTTTCGTCACGCCACTGATGGGAAATGTGTCTGTGCAGTGTAACTGTCTGGCAAAGAATCAGTCTGGAAAACTGAAAAGGCCGTGGCTGTTACTCACTGCAGCATGGGGAGGTTTAAACTCTCCACATACTTTATTTAAGCGTGATCCTGTCTTCTTTTCTGCATTAAAGCAAAGTAACTTTTTGTATTCATCACTGTGCTGCAGAACTCAGGATGGGAATTAAAGTGGAAAGAGAGCCTCACGCTAATCTTCTAGAGAGACATTTAAATGTCTGGGGATTACTTCTGATGAAGCAGAAAGCTTGTCAGCATTAATTGCTGAGGCAATTTCAGTTCAGAGACAGCCCCTGATTCGGGAGAATTCTAGGAGAAGCTTGGTTGTCCATCAGTAAAAGGAAAACTAAAGGTTTAGGATGTCCTGACTTAATGCTAGGAATGCTAGGGAAAGCTGGGAAGCTAGCGACTCACAGGTATGCTCCAAACCATTGTTATCCTACTGGTGCCCCACTGAAGAGCATTTACTTCTTTCCACTCAGTATTTCCTAAAAAAGAAAAAAAAATCACAAAATTAAGAGTAAATTATCAGCTTTAGTCTAAAAGGTTAATTAAATGCTTAACAACAGGCCACAGTGCCAGAGAGGTGTTAGATAATTTTACCTGAGCTGGTTTATCCTTCAGTGGCACCGTGCCATCCCTTTATCAAATCCCAGAAGAGATCTGTTCCCTCTTCACTGCTCTGCAGCAGTGATTTCATGTCTGGACTCGTGCAAGAAATGAACAGCGACAGCTTCAGCCAAAATGTGGCAGTATTTAAAAGACACATCTGAATTCTTTAATGAAGAGTTTCCATAGAAGGGGAAAACACTGACTACATGGATGAGCATTTTGAAACAGTTCTTTTCCTAATCCAGCGATGATTTCAATAGTAACTTAAATGGAGTCAGTGAGCAGGGGAACACTGTTTGCATGTCTGCTTCTGGCAGACAGAAAAGCCAGGCAGGGGAAGAAAGTCTTAGTATAGGATGAAAGCAAACCTCCCTCCCCAAAGAAACAAAATAAAGAAAAATCTCACAAGCTGCCAAAGCCCCTTCTCTTCAAACTGCTGAAAAACAGGGAAAAGCAGAAGAAAACTTAAAAAGTGCTAAATGCCCCTCCCTGCTAAGCCCAGCTGGAAAAAAAAAAAAGCCAGAAAAGAAAATCAAATTCTCCCAACAAAGCAGCTGCCTCACCTCTTGCCAAGGTCCCCAATTGCTCTGCATCTGCTCACACCTAAATAGCTGTCCCCTACACACAGGCCCCAGGCAGACCACGCCATCTCAGTACCCTTGGTTTCCATCTACGTTAGCTCCAGCTGGAAGGGAACCAAATGTCCTATGGCATGGAAAAGGGGAGATACATCTGCCAATTTATTGCATGACAGTGAGCTAGCATGACATTGCTCAGGCACCGGGCAGCCCAGGGGCCATGGGTTCTCATGTGATGCTTGGTTTTCCATGGGAATGATCCACGGTCCACTTGGGCCCGGAAAGAGCTCCAGCAAAGATCCTCCGCCTGATTTTTTCTTTATCTTTCTGTGTCAGGGGAAGGGATCATGATATCTTCAGAGGCTGGAGAGCTCCTAGACTTCATCGATGAGCAGGGACAAGTGCATGTGATCCAAAAATACCTGGAGAAGCCTCTTCTTTTGGAGCCAGGGCATCGCAAGTTCGACATCAGGTAACCTTTTCTGCCTGGATTTTGTAACACTGGTTTGCATTTCTTTGTAGTTTCTTTTTTAAACTGAGACTAGAGTTTGTTCTCTTCCCCCCTAGGAGCTGGGTTCTCGTGGATCATCAATATAATATCTACCTCTACAGAGAGGGTGTCCTGCGGACCTCTTCCGAACCATATAACAGTGCTAATTTCCAGGACAAAACCTGCCACTTGACCAATCACTGCATTCAGAAGGAATATTCCAAAAATTATGGGCGGTATGAGGAAGGGAATGAAATGTTCTTCGAGGAGTTCAACCAGTATCTGATGGATGCCCTGAACACAACGCTTGAGAATAGCATCTTACTGCAAATCAAACACATAATAAGGTAACCAGCTGCCTGTTGCACAGGGGTTCGTAACCCTTCAGTGACGGGGAATCTGTATGAACACAGCTGGGGAAGGAGAAGGACAGGAGAAGGAATTAATTTGCATAGGTTATGGGTTTTGACCCAGAGGTAAATTAAAGACAAATCCAGGAAAAAAAAAACACAATGTCATTGCCCGGTGAAACAGCAAATGAGGGACTCTATAGATGTTGTTCTCTGAAGAGGATGTGTCAGTGTGTGTGCATTTTGCTGGCTGTGTCTGGAGTGAGCTTCATCCCAAGCAGAGCCAGCTAGCACTACCAGCTGCTTCCTGGGCACTGAGTAAATTACCTGGAGAGATCATGGCACTGCAGAGAAACCAGGTACGAAATACTGATCCTCCATGGCAGAGTTTTCTTTTCAAATCCCCCGTTGCTGTTACACCAAAATGACATGACACGACCTTTGAGGGTCTCAGTGGCAAATGAGCTCTGAGTGGCAGTTCCCTGGGGGCCTGGTGCAGCTCTTTGTGGATCCGCCTTCTGCTTCAGGCTCTAACTGCAGATCCTCTTTTTCCCCTTGCCTAATCTAGTGGTGAGGGTGGATGCTGCTCTCCAGCTCTTTGGGTGTTAACTCAGGGCTGTTTTAGGGTTTTTTGGACTGTCCACAAATGTTTTGATGTTTGCAGGGACCTGGTTGCCATGATGTGTGTTGTAATTAACATAATTTGGGGGCTGATAAAATGACACCCAGATACCAGGCACAAGGCAGGCCTGAAGATACTGCAGTGGGGCACTGCCTGCTTGTTTTCTCATCGGTGTCAGAAAGTGTTGCCCCATCCACTTGATGCTCCAAGCAGTCCCAAGGCAATGGGGGAGCCTTCCACTGACCTGCACCATGCACATGGCTTCAGAAGCTGCAGTGCAACCAGTGTGTCCACGGGGCTTTTAATCTCACGTTTCTATTTTTCCTGTCACAGAAGCTGCCTTATGTGTATAGAGCCTGCAATCAGCACAAAGCATCTTCACTACCAGAGCTTCCAGCTCTTTGGCTTTGACTTCATGGTTGATGAGGAGCTGAAAGTCTGGCTCATAGAAGTCAACGGGGCTCCAGCTTGTGCCCAGTGAGTAGTCAGTTCCTGTTACACATTTGTGATGCCACCATTCACATGGCTCACACAAAAGTGAAAAAGGTGGAAGAAAGTGACTGGAAGGGGGCTTTCCCATGCAAATCCATACCTGATACTCAATTTCTGGACAATTGGATTTGAATGTGACTTGGGTTGTTTTTATTGACACATTGCAGAATTAATGCCTTGAAACTCAGGTGGTTTCTCGGCCTCTTTTGTGGAGCCAGTGGTGGATGATCTTCACCTGAACACAGAATAAATGAGTAGCATTAAAGGCAGCAGCTGGAAGTGGGTGACTGAATTTGCAGGCGTAGGACCCCAGAGCACACCATAGGTGCTGCAGAAATTGAATCAAAGCCTCCACCAGCCACAGGGAAGCTGGGACAGCCAGGCAACTCTGGCCATGAACATCTTGAACAGGCACAGTGAGAGGTGCTGTATTATGTGATTGAGATGACTGAAAGACTAGAAATCTTTGCTAAATAGGCATCTTTATTATATACAATCACAGCAGAACAGAAAAGGCTGTTCTACGTTATCTACATTACTATATCTAACATACAATTTTTATACATACATATAAATATGTTATATATAATAATAATAATATTTACATAATATTAATCTCCATTAGATGCAGATTAGATTAGGTCATCACTCATACTAGAGAAGAAATACAGGGCCAACCTATCAGGCAGCCCAGTCATCAGTCTTTTCAGGACTATTTTAATTTATAGCACCCATATCACACAATTCACATTTAAAAGTCAAAAGTTGTCTGCTGAAAGCAGTAACACACTCAGGAGCTGAAAAAGCATCTTACTGTTAAGTAGCCCCAGCTTCAGAGGTGGCATTATTAATTCTAGTAAAGACAGCTTTGGTGCTACAAGTGTCCCATATGCCAGCACATTCACTGAGGTTACACATGTATTTTCTTCAGCAGAAAACAAAGCTGTTGTTATCTCATTTCTCAAACATCTCTCTTCTGCCTAATCCTGCTTTTTGTGAACCCTGCCATGATGAAATCCTTCCAGCCCTTCTGGGGGAGTCCTGTGAAATCTCTGTGCCTAGCTCACAAGTTAATATGCACACTTGCACCCCATTGCAACATTTCATCGAACCATCAGAGAAATCCCCCTGGGGTGCATCCCCACTTGTACAGGGTCTGTTGTGATAATCACGACTCTCTGAGCTGGGAGACTGGTACAGGGGGTGCTTAGCTGTTGTTTGTCCCCATGCGTCTTGTGGTGACTCGAGTCTGGGGACTGAGGGTGCAGAGATGCTGCTGAGGAGCTTGTTCTGACAGTAAACTGAGAGAAATGGGTTTTGTGTTCCCGTGCAGCAAAGAGCAATGTTGGGAATGGGAGCATCGTTGAGAAAGAAGGCAGTTGCTGGGGTAGGAGGGGAGGATACCAGGACATTCCTGCCACATCTGGTTTGCCTCCCTGGAGCTACCTGTAACAGCAGCGGGATCTTGTAGCTCCCACTGGGAAAACACATGGCTCTGTATGAGGAGGGTGAGGGCCTGCTGGTTTGGCCTGCTTGGGCGTCTTACTCTGTCTCTCTCTTGTCTCTTAGGAAGCTGTATGCAGAACTCTGCCAAGGAATTGTGGATGTAGCCATCTCTAGCGTTTTCCCCCTCGCTGACACAGGGCAGAAGATGAGCCAGCCGTCACCGATCTTTATCAAGCTGTGATGACCACGGGAACGCGTCTGCTGTGCGTAGGGAGAGACTGCACCCACTGGGTCAGCACTGTTCGATGGCTTATCTCAGTATCATGCCAAAAAGTGATAGGGACAGACTTCTTTTTTGTTCTGGAAAATCATGGGGAAAAAAAAAACAACAAAACAGGCATCCACACAGAGCAGCGATGAGCCAGAGCTGCTGAGACAACTCTGCCTGCATTCACCAAAATCCACTTTAGAAACAGCTCATGTGACTTTGATACCTGAAACAAATCTCTCTGGGAGAACAGCAAGATAACCTTACGATGAAACCCCAACAGGGATACTATAATACTGTATTAGCTCCTCCTTTTCTATAGCGATAACATTGTGGGTTTTTTTTTAAGGCAGTTGAGTGAAGAGTACGATGGTCTTCCAGGACGTCGTAGTTGGAAAGTTTTCCTCCTCCCGCTGTGTTTCTTCCTTCCTCACCCACTGCGTAATTAGTGCCTTAGCTCAGCTCCAAATAGGTGACTCCTTTCCCTTGTTCCTGCTCTTTTCCATGGAAAGGAACAAGCTCTCTTGCGTCACAGGATGCATAAATCCAGGAACACTGGGAATTCAGTTTCCTGAGGTCATTTCAAAGCTGGCTGGCTGAACACCCAGGCAACAACTGGCAAGGACGCTGTCAGAAAGGGTGCTGAACTGCAGGCGGTGAATTAACCCAGGCAGCAAAGGCTGTTTGTTTGTTTATAGTTATCCCTTTTCCTAATGAGATTTGAATCAGTTTCAGTGCAAGTCTGATGCAGTTGGATTCTGTTTGAAACAGGTAGAGAGATCCCCCTTGGGACTCACCTGCAGGCTATAGGATTTCTAGCATCACTTCTGTGCTAGGAGTGTTTCGAATAGCTGAAACCCAATCTTCTCAGCTTCTTCTGAGACAATGCAGTGAATTGAGGCTCTTCTCTCAGCTTTCATCTTACTGCCTTTGAGGCTTAAATCTGAAACCTTTCAACCCAAATGATTTTTATCCTGTTTGATCCAGCCAGTTTGATTCTCCTCCATTTTACAAATACTGTAATTTCTACCCTGAACACAGTGCACAGCTCAGTCCCAGCAAGGAGGAAGAGGAGTGAGATGTTGTAGACCAGGAGAGAGATTCCTTGTCTATAGGTTTGCCACACGGCTGGGGCAGGCTGATATTTTTGTGGGAAAGGGAAGTTAAATTCCGTGAGGTCCCTGAATTTCAGAACTAACATCTACTTTGAGCATGACCTAAATCACGTTACCCATCTTGTGAAGTTTGTCTGAATTTTCAGCGTAAGCCAGCACACCCCTCCTAAAGTAAAGCTCTCTGCAGAGCACAGCAGCATTTCTAGCAGCAGCTGACTTTGTGAGTGGTGTCTGGCCTGTGCTGTGTCCCAGATTTTTACACAGAGAAGCAAAGTTCAACAATTAGATCTCTGTTCAAGAGGCTACTGGGGTGTCTGCAAAGAACTGAGTGCTCACAGAGTGCATGTTAAAGCTCATTTGTACAATGGTGGTACTGGGTTTGGGGATTCTTTCCATGTTGCACACAATGTGTGGATGTACCTTAGCTGTGAGGTTACATGGTTCAAAACATGATTCAGGGCAGATTGTGCCTGCATGAGCAGCACAGAACCAGGTCCTGGCAAGGAGGAAAGGAGATAGATTGCCTGATTGAGATCCTCACACACTGCGTGGGAAACCGTCATGGAAAACTGCAGCTCTGGGGTTTGAATCGATTGCAGCAGGAGAGCAGACTGTGCAGCTGAGGTCAGAGCGCCGTTCTGCTGCCTCTGGCAGGGAGAGATGGTTGGCACAGAAATAAATGGTTCCTGTTACCCAAAATAAACAAACAAGAAGAGATCATGGAGGTTACAAGCTTTTGGCTGTCCGTGTGTAAATGGGACCTGAGTCAAGCAGTGGGATTTCGCCCTCAAAAGATCCTGGAGTTGTGATGGACTCATCTCTGCTCGTGACAGATTTGAAAGGTCTTCCTGCCAGCCTGGAGCTCTGTCAGGAGATGATCCTGCCACTTTTCTGGAGACAGAACTGAAGTGTCCAGGCCTCCCTGGAAGAAGATATTTTGGTCATGGTGTAATGGGACGGCCGTTCTTTGCAACATGCTGTGAATCCACACGTGGCACTACTTCACACAAGGATGCTCGAATCCAAGAGGGAACAGAGTGCTTAGCAAAACCCAGCAGAAGCTTTGCAGAGAGGAAGCATCCCGAAAAGCCACACAAACGCCTCTGGAGCTGTAAACACGCTGAAGTGCTGCATGGATCAGCGTCTGCGCAGCATGTGACAGGCACAAGGTGCACTGGTGCACTCTGAGAAGTGACAAGGAGCAAGAGCATTTTAATATGTGAAACAGGGCTTTTTTTTTTTTTTCCCTCTGTACTGCGTGCAGAAGAGGCCTGGACTGTGAGTGCTAGTGGGTGGGTTTGTTTCTAGAGGGATCCCAAATACCAGGTCTGGTCTCTGACTTTGGACCTTGGGTGTATTCCGAAGAGGTGCTGTGAACTCTTCAGTTCATGAGTCAGGAGGCAGTGGGGAAGTAGTGAATCATAAGCTAGTAGAGAGGGGTGCAGGAGGAAGACTGGTTGGGTTTTAGTAACCTTTTGATAGCACGTAGGTGTCAAAACTTCAATGCAGACTGGGCAAAGCATAGTGGCAGCACTCCAAAATAATAAGTAGGCCATGATGGCTGTTTAACTCAACTTGCAAAGCTGACAGTTCACGTCTCCATTGGCATTTTCAGGGTATCTTAAAATTAGCTTAACCTAACATAAGCTTAAAAATACATCTTTTTTCTTTTTTTACTTCTTTTTTTCTTTTTTTTCCAGCAAATGCAGGATCTGATAGCAATCACCCCGCTCCAGGATGTACATGAGGTGACAGGACACATTGCACTCTCTCAAGCTCTAGAGTAGCCTAGAGCACAGCTGCTAAGTGTGTGAAGTGAGAAAAAAATGTCCCCATCGTAAAGAAATGAAAAACACACCAGCCCTGGGACACTAAGCCGTATTTCTTTTCCTCTCAAAAGGGAAATTAAAAAATCAGATCTTTCCCTTCTTTAGTGTAGAGGTCCGTGCTGAAGTAGTGGCATGAGGCCAGGAAAGCAGCCTGGATGCAGGAGAAAGCAGCGGCCTTCACTGGAGCAGCTGATAAAGCCAGGAGAAGTACTGACTCAGGAACCTCTGCCAAACTCCAAGGCCTTTTCTTCCCCCCCCCATTGCATCTCAGGTTGCGTTTGTGGTATGTCACCAACTGGCTATTTGTGCTGCTCAGCTAAAAGCAGGGCTTCGACTCGATGGTAGAGCCGTGGCCACGGGCGACGCAGCTGTTCATAACCTGCCCTTTCAGCTGGGTTTCGGGGAGATAGCAATTCAGGGACACTAATCATCAGTAGGTTTGCTGAATTCTTAAAATAAGCAACAGCCTCAGGAGGAAAACGGCAGGTATTGTTCATGACTACCACCTGCCATCAAAATGTTCCTCGAGGCAGAGCACAGAGGTAGATGACAGAGGACAGCATAGTGCCTAAGGTCTTGTCCAGTATATTAGCCAAGCATATATTAGATGTGTGTATGGCTGAGGCCTGAGTGTTGCAGCCATGGGTGCATCTTGCAAGTGATGCTCACAAACCCTCGTGAGACTTTCTTTTTTTTTAGAAAAATGCAAAATAAATGTTTTTCTACCTTATTCCATCTAAAAGGTCGATAGAAAAGGTCTTGCCCTCTTTCCTAAGCTTTCGTAAAGGATGGTGCTGGGTTTCAAGAAGATACCTGCCATACTGCAGAATGTCTCTAGTCTTAGCTCTGCCCCTTTCTGTGGGCCATGAAGGATTTCAGACCCAGGTGCTCTGGCGGGTTTCCAGCAGGGTCTGGTCCAGCTGGGCCCTGGGCTTCAGTTAATTCCCCAATCACTTGTCTCATGCCAGGTTAGTCGTGACTACCATGCAACCGCTGTTGTGCTCCCACGAAATCCAGCGGCCAGCTGCAGCCCACAAAAAAATGCTGGAGAAGCCTAAGAAGGACTCAGCAGCCATTTCACCCGGCTTCTGCACCCCGTTGTGATCAACGCCCTTCAGGACTGCTTGCATGTCCCTGGTCCCAGCATTTCATGTTCTCCATGTGCAGCTGTCCCCCCGGGGAGCCCTGCTGTGCCATCCGTGGGTTAGTAACCGTGTCTCATTACCCATGTCAGCTCCCACAGGCCACAGAGAGTAGTGGCAGCGCTGGCTGCTCCCACGTCAGCATGCGCGTGTGGGGCCGGCGGGGCTCCGTGTCCCACGCTTCTCCAGCAGCTGCGTCCACGTCTGTCCTTGGCCACCATTAAACGAGCTGATCTCATGGGCTGGCGTCTTTCCTTGGGGCGGCCTGCCCTCCGTCTTTGATGGGCATGGGGGGAATCATAGAATATCCTGATTTGTAAGGGACCTACAAGGATTATCAAATCCAACTCCTGGCTCTACTCAAACCTACCCAAAATTATCACACAGAAAGGTTGAGGTTGGCAGGGCACAGGCACATGGCATCTGGGGGTTTTGAATATCTCCAGAGAAGGAGACTCCACAGCCTCTCTGGGCAACCTGTTCCAGTGCTCTGTCACTCACTCACAGCAAGAAGTGTCCCCTCATATTGAGCCAGAACGTCCTGTGCTTCAGTTTGTCCCCATTGCCTCTTGTCCTGTCACTGGAAACAACTGAAAAGAGGCTGGCTCCATCCTCATGACCCACCACCCCCCTATATTTATACACATTAATGATGTCTTATGTGGTTTGGGTTGGAAGGAGCCTTAAAGACCCCCATTTCCAAGTGGGACACCTCACATTGCACCAACTCCCCCAAACGGGAGGCAACCCCGGGGGGCATAAACAGCGCTGAGGCAGCTGCGTGTGGCGCACCAGTGTGTGCCATGGCAGCCTGACGGCACCCGTGGCGTGGGCAGGGCATGCCTGCACCTCACAGATAAGCACCTCACAACTCCTCCAGCACCCACACGGCGGGGGGGTCGGGGAGCCCAATTTTTTTTTGTGGGGCTGGAGGGGGGGGCATAGCTTGAGGCGTGAGGCGTGAGGAGGGGGGAGGCGCGCGTGGGGCTAGCACGTGGCGGTTGCTGCCGCAGCGCCCCCTACTGCTGCTACTACTACTGGTGCTGCTACTCCTGCTGCTACTACTGCTTGTAGCGCTGCCGCTGCCTGCTCCGCCCCGCGGCATCCCGGCAGGCGGCGCGGTGCGGGCGGCATGGAGGGCGGCCGGGGGCCGGGTGGTGGCGGCGGCGGCCAGCAGCGCCTCATGAGGCGGCGGCCGCGGCTCCGCAGCGGGGTGCAGCGCGACCTGCCCGCCGCACACATCGACTCCTTCAACTACGCCATCAGCGAGGGGTGTACCAAGCGCTGCAGGTCTGGG